ATCTTTCAGTGTCTCTAGCTTGATTATGCGTCAACCGATTTCAGTGAATGTTTCAGCATGCATATGTTACCGAGATCTACAAAATGCAGTTTTTCAATTTTCGTTATAAGCTCAGATAAAAAAACATGAGCTTTGTAATTTTTTTGTCATTCCAAGTAATAGCAAAATTAAAAAAAAATATATTATAGTCATTGTCTAGAAGATTGGCCTCTCTAACAACTAAAAAAAAATTCATGTCGTTTAATACAGTTTTGAGAAAGTTATACCGTTTTTCGATCTATTTATGCATATGGAACTTCTGCACTAGAATTGTGCAGAAGAAAAATTAATTAACAAAATGGCAGTCGTGCGAAGCAGAAATTTATTAAAATTGAAACGTTTTTATATATTAAAAAGGAAAGTACTGTAGATATTGGCATAATTGTAATTCATAAGATAAAGGAATCTCTATTATATGTATACATATTGTATACATATATTGTATATTATATAAATATATAAAATATAAAGGGAACTCATTATCGAGAAATCAGCAGGCAACCGATTTAAAAAACATGGTTTTGAGAAGAATACGTAATCAAACTTCTGCATCTTATTTCAGTATACAAAACATCATATATGTACATATGTGTATGTTCTGTTCGCGGTAAGTTCGGCGCGCGCACATCTGTTCGGACTGCTGCCAATTTATTATGGAAGCAAGATATGAGATACTGAGATACGAATAGATAATGAGCAGTATGGATATAGATCAAACATTAATATTACAAAGCGACGAATGAACAGCAAAGAAACTTGCGCGAAGAATAATTTATATTTATAAGTTCTCGCAATTGCGCTAGTTCCATACAGGCCCCATTCGTAAGATCGATATTAGATTAATTGTAGGAGGGTTGGTACAATTTTCATGATAAAAGTATTGAAATACGATTGGAATCAATGTTAATAAAAAATGAAAAATGACATATATATATATATATTTTTTTTTTAATTGTACGACAAAATAAAATATATTGAAATTAAAACGTTATTATCAGGATAAACATATAGAAATATAAATGTTGATATATATATATATATATATTTTTTTTTTAATTGTACGACAAAATAAAATATATTGAAATTAAAACGTTATTATCAGGATAAACATATAGAAATATAAATGTTGATATATATATATATATATATTTTTTTTTTAATTGTACGACAAAATAAAATATATTGAAATTAAAACGTTATTATCAGAATAAACGTTTAGAAATATAATTGTTGACACGCATTTACGTTTCTTTCACACATTAAATATTAATATTGGAAGAGAACGATAGAGTTTACTCACCAAACGTAAGAATGATTTTAATGGTCTTGATGATACGCTTTCTATACTATCGGGAGTAGTCCTGGGAGAAGTAAAGATGAAATTCACTCACTAACTTTATAAATAATGAACTCAATTAAATGAAATAATGAAAGTTAGGAATTATAAGAATTTAAAAAAATAATAAATATAAATTTGATAGATTGAGCTAATGCTTTTTATGCGCGGATGAAGTCTTTTACCCGAACTGAAGGACATAATTTTCAATGAATGCGACAAACTATGCTTAAACTTGAACATCTCAAGGACCCACGACTCGCGATTGCACGTCAAAGAATGCCGCAGTTTCGCACTCACGGTGAAGTGCGAAGACCAGTGTTAAGCCTACTCTGAAATTGTTTACTCTGTATCGCTATCACTAGCGAATTAGGTCGCGAGTTTGCCACACGCAGGATCGAGATTCGTTAATTAACACGTTGAATGCCATGGGGGGTCACCGGTGACCGGCGCGCCCAAATTGATAGAAATATATATAATTTCAAACAAATGTCAATATCTAAAATTTTGTATTATTGCCATCGTCAATTGAAACAGTGAGCCCTGTCGCAATTAATATGTCAAACATGGTTATACACTGTAACTTATCTATTACAGATAATATTTCAAGCGGTCAATAGGCACGAGTGAACCTTTTCCCTTTCTTTTCTCATCCGTCTTCGTTAAGACCTCACGATCTCACAATTTGGGTCGGAATTCTTAACTTTTTGGACTGAGTGAATACCGATAGAGGATCACACGTTGACTCCAAGGAAGGAATGCATTATATTAACATTAGCCCGTGGGACCAAACCCAACATCATCAAAAACCGTTTCCACGAGCGATTAGGGAGCTCCCATCTAATACGTATTATCGACTAGATACTCGTCAGACGGAAAGAAAAATAAGATGAAAAATACTGTTCGGCACATAACAATAACATAGCGCAATGTGTGTTTAGGCAACTATCTTTATTATTATTAACATTTTTTCATGGACGCCACAATTTTTAAGTTGCCGTATGCATTCTAAACAAAAGCATAATCCAATATCTTTATGCGTGTGCATAAAAGCGGTTATCTTACGGACTAGAATTATGCAGAAGAAAAATTGATTAACAAAATGTTGCAGTCGTGTAGAGCAAAAATTCATTAAAATTGAAACGTCTTTATGCATTAAAAACGAAAGTATTGTAGACGTAAAGGGATTTCTATTTTATATGTACATATATAATTTAAAAGTATTGTAGATAATTATATTATTTATATATATATGTATAATTAGCTGCTATATATTATTATATATAAATTATATATTATTATTATTATTATATATTAATATATAATAGAATTATATATATTATTATATATATAATAATAATATATAATTTATAAAGGAAATTCATCAATTCATTATCAAATCATAGCAGCAAATTTGAAAAACGTAATTTTGAGAAAAATACGTATGTAGCACATACCTTCAAGCAGCTATGCCTGACGAAAAATGGAGACAAAAGTAGCTTACATAACGCAATTATCTCTGTGGTCACCTTGCTGGCATTGAAATATTATGTATTTGTTAGTTTGCCAATTTTGCATATTTGCATTGATCGCTTAAAGATGTTAAACGTCGATATTTCAAGAGATTGACGTATACTGTTTTAGCAAATTATATTAAATAAGTTATGCGTTGAAAATATACTATTTAAAGAATCGATTTTCTCACCCCGCTGAACGGAAATGCTTGCCGAACTACAAAATTGTGGGCTATTATGCATCGGATAGAAACTATTTGTTGAACTTAATCCTTTGTTTGTTATCATCGATGGATAACGATTGGATATTTTTTAATTAAATCCGTTCTATCTACGATAGCTCGTGAAAAGTTCGACGCAGACGATGATTCATCCAGCCTTTCTGACAATCAATCCAACTATCACGTGGGTTGCCAGACCGACATTCATAGAAATCAATGGATTCGCGTCTAAACATTTATTAAAAATTTATTTCAGTTACGTTCCTTACTGAAGATTATAAATTAACACGGGATACATACTTCCTCACATTCCAAAATTACCGTTAGAATCCAAAAACAAAAAAAAATGCCTCGCACACAAATGTTTTTGAAAAATTGTATTTTTTATTAATATGCGCTTATTCGGTAACCGATTAAAATATTTTTCTAAACAAACGTGTCCGAATAAATATTATATTCCCTCGTCTATTAAAGAAAAGCATCTTTTATCACTATCGATAGGATGAATACAGAAAAATATACAACATAAATGTGTAACGTGTATGCCGATTATAGCGGATTAAAATTTTCCCAGCGCAAAAGATTATGCAATTTTTATTTCGAACTTTCCAATTTAATTTTAGTCGCATAGGAGAACAAAATGATGTAGTGATATAATAAAAATTTCGTTTACGTTACGTATGAAATACACAAAGTAACGCGTTTATTAATTTCTATGTCAATTAGAGGGTAAAAAAAAGGCATGCGTAGAAAGAGAGTCTGTATCGCATAATCTTTTTCCCTTGTTTATTAGACGATTCACTTTGTAGAATCCTTCTGTCATTTTTGTTTTGCATAATACTATAAATAAACGGATGAATCACTAAATGAATAAACATGTAAATAATACACGAGACCCATCGTCTCTTATGAGGTATTTGTAACAATGTTGACAATCTACATCATTCTCCACGGGAAACACGTGTTCTTTTACCTCGGCACGAGATGCACATGCATTTTGCAATGCGACCATAACTTACTGCTAATGAACGACAACTGCATACATATCGAATGTACGAATATGCAGAATAGATCACTTAATACTGGAACAAATGCTTGTTCTAACAAATCCAGGACGGACGAACGAACTTAAAAAATGCAACACAACTCGATTGATATTAATTTTTTATTTTATTTGTAAATGATGATCAATTTTACCTTTCTAATATTGGAAACACATTGAGTGATGACAATTTTATTTAGTTATTTATATAGTTACATCAATATACATTAAATAATTATGAACATAAATCTGATTAGGGGTGCGTCAACCCTAATACTCAGTCCACTTAACGGATAGGCTCTTGCGCGAGTCTTTTAACTTCTATGTACCATCAATAAGATTCCCCAAGAAGTTCAAAAGAAAACAAAATGTAGAGTTCAAAGAAATGTTCTGCATAAATATCGTATTCAGATTTTTCTTCAAAGTTATCACAGTGTTTTCTTCAAACAGAATCATCCACAATCGGAAACCATTAATTTTCATGGATGCATCAATTTTATTACCGTGAAGTCAAACGAAAGTATATCTCAAAATAAATACTTTTTCTTTCTTAAGAAATCTTCTCGCATTGTTAGAAACAGTAAATCAAGTTCCAGTTTCAAGTGACACATTCTGCATATGTAAATATACATACCTTGCATATATATTTTTTCTTTTTTTTTATATATATATATATATGTACCATACACATTGCGTAAGGTTTTAAGTTGACTTCCTTCTATTTTTGTTCAATTTCAGACACTTTATTTTTATTAATTCATTCAATAGCCGTACGACGTACAGTTGTTTGCAGATTTTTTTTCCTACTTCTCATTTTTTTTTTCTCAGTTCACCTAATGTAGCGTGTAAATGTGCAATTACTAATAAAGAGACCGACAGAATGGTACGTTCACCGTTCCGTTTCATTGCTCTTTCTCTCATCGCCTATCTCATCTTTTTCTCCCGCGCTTTTGCCATTTTGCTCACCGCTCGGAGTGAAACGGATATATATATATTTATATATATATATATATATATATGTATGTATATAGTAGTATCATTAGTTACAATTGAATGATACACGAGCGTCATTGGCCGTGGTATAATATGGGCGCACAGCCATTGAGACTCGTTTGCAGGAAGCGTGTGCGACACACGCTTCCAATCGAAGGTCTTTCTTGAATTCCTCTTTTGTTCATCGTTTTCTTTTAAATGCGGGCCTCGTCGACCACGTTACACTCGACCCAACAAGCGACGCTTTTTTTTTCTTTTCTAACTCGACTCGAAATAACATTCGTTAATAAGTTCGAAGACATTCGTTATTCGTTTCCTCCATTATCATTATTCTCGTTTGCCATCCCGCCTTGTTTCGCCTAACGAACTTTCGTTACCACCCTAAACGCGTGTGCTCTTCTATCATCCTCCGTTTCTCTCGTTTCGTCTGTTTCTTCCACATGTATTTCACTCGCGCATACAATTCGCTCGATGATGCTTCTCCTCTCACCGCTCGTTCTTTTTTTTGTGTGTATGTGTTCTCCCTTGAGTATTATATTGCTTTGTTTTTACCTTTACGCTTTTTTTGGAAACATAAAGAAAAAGCTGCTCGAGTAGACACACGACTTACAAGCGCGTTCAGAAAAGTGTCACTCTCTCTCTCTCGTTGCCTGCCTCCATAATCCTCGACATCCTCTCACACTTTCACTCTCTCAAGAGCAAATCGAACGCACGAGTATATTCGAATTCATCGAGCATGCGTAACGTATACGATACGATACGATACAGTACAATACAATACAATACAAAAAGAAAGAGATAAAGGTAAAGGAAACTATTATATATAGCTACAGCACGCGACAACGATTGTGTTTTCGGCGACGCATTCGCGTGCTCCGTCTCTCTATCCCGACGCTGTTGCGTGATGCGTATATGATAAATATATGGATTTACAATATGTTTCTATCTTGTGTGTATGTGTGCTTTCGTAACTTGCGCATTCTTTGCTTTGTAGTTAATGATTGCAGTCACAGTCAAACGCCACCACCAATTCTTTTCCCTTTTCACGTTCCCTCCCCTCCCCCTTCGTTTTTTTTCTCTACATTATACGATTTGCTTTTCGCCCCTCTCTCTCTCTCTCTCACGATACATTTTTTTTTTGTTTGCTTCGTTTCGCACTATAATTGATCGTTTTCTTTGTTTTTTTTCTGCTTCTTCTAATCGTTCCGCTCTGTGTGGATTCGTACATGTTTATTATTAAGGCTGCTCGTCCGATATACCTTAGAGGACCAAACATAATTATTCGAAGGTACTTTAGTGTGTACAGTAGAAATACGCGACCACTGTCCTTCCGAGAGAAATAACAGAAAGAGAGAGAAAAAAACTAGAATAAATACTTAAAAACATTAATAAATAATAGTTTCGTTTGTTTGTTTTCTTTACATCGTTCGCCTACCTCGCCTAAAGGTGCTTAATACCTTTTTCTAAATCATAATGCCGTAGTTGAATTTCTACACGTATACCGACTACGAAAACGCGGTGGACACCTATATATTCCTTTATAGTTCGCAAATTTCGACGTTTTTTCTTTTCTAGTTTTTCACATTCAAAAATCACGTACCGACAACTGAACCGCTCGTAATACAATCATTTTCTCTTGCGATACAGTTGAATGGACGACAAGGAAAATAGAAGAAAAAAAAAAGATACATGGAATCGATACACCATGACTGCTCGACGCGACCAACACTGTTGTGTATAAAAATATCGTTATAACTAGGAGAGAAATAAGTATAAAAATATTTTTGCGTATTAGTTGATGTTACTTGCATGATCTCTGTCCACCATGTTACTCGTAAATGAACATATTATCTTCCAACTGCACAGGACTAATAACTTACACATCGACGCGTCATATGTATTCGTTGCGTTTGGCGATCGATTGGACAGTAGAATCCGGAATGTCATTACAAATAGTTTTCTAACACGAATGTGCCTTAGAACTGCAAACGCTCGGATGCTCGAACTTCGTACACTACTAAATATTCTGAACTATTCAAATATTCTTAATACGCGCGGTAGACTCTTGGCCAGGTTTATAAAGTTAGGAATTGTTCGAAATTTGAGAATGGTGACACATCCGATAGCAAAGATGTATCTAAATTAAAGGTTGTATTCGAGTTAAGTCCAATATTAACAGGAGAATTATCGAGCATTAGAAATCATGTTTTATAATAAAATTTACGACGTAATTTTTATTATAATGTAAACACAAACGAATCGATATTGTTTAGAGCTTCGATGAATGTAAAACAAAGAATCTAAAGTGGATTATTTTGATTTCTCCGATAGTTCTAGTGTTAATATTGCGATTGTTACATTGCAATTATCGATAACGTAAAGAAAACCAATATTTTGCAGAAGAATGTAGACTTATATAAATGGTAACAATAAACAGATCGTGCAATCAATTCAAATTTTCTTATGTAATGCTAACAGTATGCAAAGTACAAAATCTAAATTCTTAATTCTTTGTGATGCGAGTACTGCACCGTCAGAATTCTCAATATATTGTTGTTATCAAATTTTAAAAGTTAAATTTCAAAAGCATTGTAAAGATTAGACTGTATATATTGTCTATACACAGGGGCTATCTATGACAGTCACACACAATTTGCACCGAGTTCCAAGTTCAACTAAGCAATGCTAAATAAAAGAATTTAGTGATTTCCTTCCTTAGATATATCATTATTATTTTGTCGAAAACCATTACGCGAACATTTTCCTACTCATTGATTTAACTGCATTGTATTTTCGAATGCTTCTTACTACTTCAAGGTTACATGCTATTAAGAATTTTTATCAAACTTTCAAAACTTTGATTTTTGGTAACTAAATGATCTGACAAGTTTGACAAAAATTTGATTAATCTGGAAGTAGTAAACAGATCTTTAAAAGACCGAGCAAACATGCTTCGTCGATGAATACAAAGCATATTTTTAATAATATTGTTTTCGTTAAGAATATATGACGTAGTTTCAAGTTCGAAGCTTGTTTACAGTTCTAGTATGTATAAGTTGGTCGCACTGAATTGCTTGAACGGTCGCAATTTGGTAAAGAACAGTGAAAATATACATATACATATGGAACAATTCAGGACAGTAGTGTCCAATAGCCGCCGTAATACTCGTTCTCTTTCTATCGCTGTGTAAATTAACACAAAAACGCAGAGCCGTTATGCAAAAGTTTCGTGTACATCTATATACCAACGCAGACATTATTCAGAAAACGAATATTATAACAGTAATAATTGTAACTAAGAGTAATATTATAGCAATAGCGATACTAACAGTAGTAGTAATAGTAGTAGTAATAGTAGTAGTAATAGTAGTAGTATTACGGCAAGATCTACTATTTTCTCGACAGAACTCGATCGTCCAACTGAAACATCCTGTTGCCGCAAAGGAGTTGTACACTATATATAAAATATATAACGGAAAAAAATGATCGATATAGTCACTCTTCACTGTGGGTTCTCGTTAATGTTCTTGGCAGGGCCTCCGAGTTGACAAATGAACTCGACGATGAAATCATATTTAGAGAATTTGATAGACCACACACACCATTAATGGTTCGGAAGCCAACAATATTTCCATCGTAACACTATTTGAAAATGTTCTAGTTGAAATCATTATTTCTTTCTCCCCCCCTGTCGCAGGGGGGCATTCACACCTTGGTCCACGGTCACACGGCATACGATTCACGCACGCGATTGCACTATAAATCTATTAATATAACAGGTATAAGTTATGACATGTCTAAAAATCCTGTCAGTTGTCACGCAAATCGAATTTGTACTTTTTCTCACATAGGTTTAGGTAAGAATCCGACGTTTGCACAAAAGATATCGATATTCTGTAAAGCCCTACCAACATCATCATCATCCAGTAATGACGCGTTCCGCCGTTCATCATCCATACCGTTTGATGCGCGATACAATTATTCTTTCATTTTTTTCGCTTTGTTTTCTTCCTTCTTTCTTTTCGTATTTTCATTTTTTTTTAAGTAGAAACAATGCCCTAAAAAACGTGTTCTTTTTTTCAGGACTTAAGAGCCGAGGCGTTCAGCCCTCCCCGATCGGACAACAGCCACGTGGTTTCTTCATCATGCATTTAACGACTTAATATTCCCATTTCTTCACGGCTCAAACAAAACTGAGCTTTTCTATGCTTTCCCTGACATTCAATACCGATTAATTAATACATTTAGCATTTGTATTTCGTTAAATTGTTCATGTTCATCAATTCGCGTGGAAATTGAATGTCACAAGATCGTTCGATATCACAGTCGTTTTTCAATTATTTTAATGTTTATGTATTTACGAATATTACTTAGTATGTATATATATCTATATATATAGCGTACTGATAAATACAGTTATAAAATATTAGTGCGCCTTTCACCTCCTTGTTTCAAAGGGCTTGCTTCTTTGTATAATTCTCATCGTTAGTTTTTTATTCTTTCGTTCGTTTTATTTCCATTTTTTTAATTCTCTTTCCTGTAAAGTTGAACCAACTCCACTAACAGTGTACGTGTGTTCGTTCTCTCTCTTTTGAAGTTTGTACCCCCGTCTGTAACTGCAACCGTGTTCACCATTTTTTTTTCTCTAACCCGTTCACGATGTCATACGTTCACAATGTCATGCTTTCGTTCGTAGAGCACTCGCACCCAGTAACTGCGATCTAAGACTTTCTTTTTAATCATTTTTTTCTTCATAACGCACCATACCATTTTTTTTTACAGGACAACGTCTTCGTTACGTTTAGAAATTCTAATTAGAGTACATTAAAAGATTCAGGTACAACGAATTACAATATACCTGACGCGCTCTGCTGGAAACGTTACACAGCCTACTCTCTAGATACAGCGACCAAAGTTTTCTCATTTTTCTTTTCTTTTAAATTAAAACAACACACCATTTTTCAATTAAGTTAGATTTAAAAACGAGCATTTGTGTTTTATACAGTGTTCTTGAACCTTGAAGCTCACTTATCATTTAAGAGGACGCGAGACAGAAATACGAACGAAGATTTCTAAAAGTAATCCTAAGACGCAGCCTGTGTCCTTCTCATAATATCAAAGCTCTTCGACTAGAAGTGGAATATTTCACCGCGATTCAGTCGATTAAACCATGATATTGTCGGCGCAACGTCGTCGTCTGTATCTGGGGACGGCAAAACAACAAAGTACCATTCGTCGCTGGATTATAGTAAATTTAAAAACAGGAATCGTCGCGAAATCTATGGCGATGGCGATGATATGACGTATCCCAGGCGTCTAGTCAAGTTTTGTTAAGTGCGTTACATTAAAAAAAAAATTATCAATAATAAAGAAAAAGAAACTAACAAAACAAAAAGAAAAAGAAACAAAAAAAGAAGACGGCGCCATTAGCTTAAATCAAACTACACAAGTTACTGGCCTTTCAGGCGGGTTGTACTAGAGCACTTGTGCATTTTAAAGCTATATTTAATTTCTTTCTTAGACGCCATGGTATACACGAAGATACGCCTATAACATCCTTCGAAAATTTAAATAATGAAGCTGCAGCGAGCCCCATAGTCTCGATAGGAGTTCTAAAAAATTTTACTAAGTTCCTCCACCTACTATGTGTTGCATCGTCCTGCCCTCGTCTAGGCAATAACGATTCGATTCATTAGTGATTTAGACTACTTGTGTTTCTCAACACGCACGGCAACGAAACTTTGGATGGATCTTACATATCTTTGTCTAGTGCCTGACAAATCCTCATCTATGCCTCCATGAATGCTTTCGAAACGAGATCACTGCCTTCCACGCGTCACTGTCCTTCCCAGTTGTTAATGCTGAAATTGCCCTTAGGATTTGTCAAAACGTTCCGTCACACGCGAATAAAAGTATTATAATGTATATATCTCTCTATATATTTTTGCTTTTTTTAAAGTTATTTTCTTTTTTGTGGAATTGAGAATAAACATGATTATTACTTTTCTTGTTTAAGTTCAAAAATTGTCGTGCTCAGGCAGTCAGCGAACGTGATGTATTATACGTGATTACTGTCTGTCTTGTGTTGTGTATATGTATATACGCGAGCAAAAATACACGTGCACTTAATGTCCAATGTGTATGTCGTAACGTGTCTTTCTTACATACGTTTGAATTTACGTGTACAGTAATAATAATGTTAAAGAGTGAAAATTTTTAAATGTTGATGATTACGTGTCCGATACCTGTATCCACCAATCGGTGCCATTGCTGTTTCCGTTGTTAGCTGAATTGTTATGTGATGAACTGTTATAGTTGCCGCCATATCCTCCATAATTCCCTGCAAAGAAAGGAACATAAGAAATCGTAATATTAACTCTTATACAACACGTTCGGTGTACAAAAATGTAAGTTATTAAAATAAATCAAATAATAATAAAAACCGATGAAAATAGTTTAAAAGATACAGCCAGTATATGTGACTACTGACCTCCATAACTGCCGGGTCTATTAGAGGAACCGTTATTGCGAACGGGCCCGGAACTCGGCTGTTGGCGGTAGTCTCTTGCGCCAAATCCTCCACTGAATCGTCCTTTAGTGCTGCCACCAGCCCGTCGGGATCCACCACCAGAATATCTTACTTCATTGAACATATCGTCCAACCACGGTGGGAGTTCTTGGTTAGCCTCAAGTAACAAAGATACTAAATCACGCACCAAGTTATGATTCTTATTGTTGAAAAACGATGTTGCTAGACCTATTAGAAAAACAATAAGAACATTATTATTATGGAATATACGTAAAATAAAAGCAGGTTATATCTTTTACAGAAACGCAAACACACCTAAATTGCCCATACGGCCGGTACGACCAATTCGATGAACGTATTCTTCAACATCGCCTGGTAAATCAAAGTTGATCACATGCTTCACGTGTGGAATATCAAGCCCACGGGCAGCAACGGCAGTTGCAACAAGTATTGGCGCTTTACCAGCACGGAAGCGTCGTAAAGCTTCTTCTCGTTCGCGCTGGGTACGGTCACCATGAATACTGGTAACCGGATATCCCATCTGATGCAAATACTCGTCTAACATATCTGCACCCTTCTTTGTCTCCACGAACACCAGAGTTAAAGATTCAGCAGCTAAATGTGTAATTTATTTGCTCATAGCCGATTACATATTATTATGAGTATGCATCTACAAAATTTGTTTAGCTTACAAGGATCTGAAAAGTTGCTAGCTTGAAGCAGATCAAGCAAATATGAACGCTTGTCATGTTCTTCTACCCATACAATCTTCTGAGTAATATTTTCAGATGTAGAGCCCACGCGGCCCACAGCTAAGAAGACATAATTGCTAAGGAAGTCCCTAGCTAACATCTGTATTTCCTTCGGGAACGTAGCTGAGAACATAAGTGTCTGTCGTTCCCCAGTCGGAGGCATTGTATCTTGCAAGACTATACGTCTTATTTGTGGTTCAAAACCCATATCCAACATTCGATCTGCTTCATCCAATACTAAATATCTAATATACAGAATTTAATCTTTTATTAAAACTAAGTTAAACGTTTGAGAATCTAAAATTCTTCCCAATACTTATCTTGCTCGTGTATTCATTAGAAAAATCCCTACGTACCGACAATTATGTAAACCAATTTTACCCCGGCTCAGCATATCTACGAGACGGCCAGGTGTTGCTACAAGAAGATGGCAGCCACGATCTAGTTCTCGCATTTGGTCTACAATATTGGAACCACCGTATACTACAGCGGGACGCATACGTGATCTATACGCAAATTTCCTTGCTTCGTCATATATTTGAGTGGCAAGCTCTCTCGTAGGTGCTAATACTAGACCTAGTGGATACTGTTTGCGCTTGCCAGAAGAATTGACATGTGCTGGCGGTGGACGTGGCCCACTTTCATAAATCTGATTCAATATTGGCACTAAAAAGGCCGCTGTTTTACCAGACCCCGTTTGGGCACAGGCCATAACATCACGACGTCCAATGATGATCGGTATCGCATACTTCTGTACGGGTGTAGGCTTATCATAACCAGCCAAAGTAATGCTGTTCTTTATTATCTCCGTCAGCTTAACCTCGTCGAACTTTTTAAATAACATAAACAAGTAGTTAGCATATATTCTGACTTCAGGTATGTCCCTTTACAAAAAGTTCGAACTTACAGATGTGATGTGTGGAGGTATATTGTCTCCAGTAGCCTCAACTGGGATATCCTCATATTTACTAAAGTTAATACCAGTATTCCCAGTACCAAATAATTCCACCTCCAGTCGCTCGTCTCTGGAAGTAGGAATCGTCCAGTCAATTTCGGAATTTCTTCTTCCGCCTCCTTCCCTCTCGTCCTTCCATCTACCAGCACCGCCGCCGCCGCCGCTACCCATTCTATGATCGTTTCTTGTTTCTGGCCAGCGGTTATTCCTAGGTGGTTGTGACCAACTATCATTGCCGGAGCTAACCGGGCGATCACGAGGTCGATCGCGCTCGGAATTGGGGAATCTATAATCTCGTCCATTCTCCTCAGGCCCGCTACGTCTGTTACGTCCACCATAGTTGCCAAAGTTTCCAAAATCGACATCGCGAGAATTTCGCGGCTCCCTATAATCTGAACCACCTCTGCCCCTATCACGGTCTCTATCTCTTTCCCTTTCACGATCACGTTCACCGCCTCGATCTCTCTCAGAATATGATCTTGAATTGGAAGAATGCTGATCTCCTGCCGAAGGACCGTTACCTACGAGCAATCATTGGCTCAATATATCATATCCCTTCACACCTACGAGTATTTTTGAATAATGAATACAGCATCACCAAGAGGTTTCACTGACTCATGAATCCTTTCAGTAGCATCACCTCATCTTATTATAAATTAAATAAAATGTTCATTTCCAAGCAAAATCTACTATGCAATTTAAATAAGATGTAAAAGAAAATACTCACTTCCGGATTTATTTCGTAGGTGTGGTGGTACGTAGCGGCCCCCACTTGGTTGGCGGGAGCCTGACAAGTCCAGACCAGCTAACTAAAATGCAAAATATAAATAATTAGAATCTCAACGGCTAAAAGATATTATAAACTGAAATTTCGAAATGTATTTAACAAAAATCTATAAATTACAGATTAAAAGTATGATGTGTACCAGTCAAGTACTACATGCTTTATTGAATAATAGTAGGTCATTGTAATCATTACTGTTTATATGCTAAAAATCGTTATTAGAGCGCAACTAAAATTTGAAAACGCAAGAATATTGAAATTTAATAGACATAATCAAGTAGGTCATAATAAAGAAAACTAAAAAATATGTGTAACGTGTACAATGTACCTAATCATGAGCACTACAACATGATATAAAAGCAACGCGAGAGTGCGTCATGGCACGAGGCATGCTGTTCCCAGAATTGGTTGCCGCCATTACAAAGCTGTACGTCACAAACGATCTCAACGATGACCCGAGTCTATAAAACTTTTTACGACGAAGGAAAGACGCGGGATTAAATAAATCACGGGGATGTAGGTTATGAAATTACGCGCATCCGCGTTCGAACATGATTGCTTGAAACGAAAGTTTTGAATAACATGGAACAATGAAAGCTTGAATGGAGAGGGTGAATAGAGAAACGGTTGTCAAAAATGTAGGAGACGAAATTATTTCTCTATTTTACCTGCTGCTCTAGACCTGATCCATTCTGGTTGGCTGCATTACTCATATTACTCCGCCTCGGTGCGTATTTTTCGTGGCTCTGCCGCAGAAGCTCTTTAGCTGTTTCTCGCCTAGACAATCACCAAGCAAAAAATTTCAATTGTTCGCTCCTTTCCTCTCTCCTTCCGCTCTTTGCTGATCTACGAACGAAACTTGTCGATTAAGTCAAGTTGTTACAATTTACAGTATCCGCTTGTCGCTACTTCGATGCAAAGGAAATTCGAAGACTCTCTACTATGAAAGGCCTCTGGCCACACTTGACGTCGACGCAACAAAAATGGCCGAGCGCCGAAATACTGCTAGCAAGATGGCTGACAACTTATTTCCGCCGGATATTGCGAAAACTATAAGAGCACACTCTGCTGGATAATTTTCTTGATATTTATCATTCCTATTATTTTCGCCGTAATACATGTGTTTTAAAACTTAGATTTATACTTTATACATGATATTGAAATGAAGTCTGTGAACGTATTCGTGTTACCCATTCAATTTACTGTTTATTGATACCTATATTCAAGATAATAATCACATTTCAGAGCGAATTATAGAGCTAAATTCAGGCTTTACCGTGGGCTACGTAATAATATTCAAAAAGAAACGAGGAACTATCACGAATATCATTTAGTGCATTTTGAATGTTTCAAAATTTCATAGGATCAAAGGGTCATGGACATGTTAGATATAAGTAATTTTATACGCGAAGCAATGGTATTTTTATCGTTTTTATTGTACAAGTTTCGAAATTTAATCAAGGTTTAATCATCTTTCTTGGTATCGGTTTTTCCTCCTCTGATTCTTCCGGTACGACGCGCAGCAATAAGACCAATCTTACGACCAGCGCTAGTTCCACGTTTAACTGTAGATGCTTTACCAATATGTTGATGGTTACCACCACCGTGAGGATGCTCAACAGGGTTCATAGCAACACCACGAACCTATAAATTAATAAAAGGATTTAAAATATCATACACTAAGAAGATTATCGTATTAATAAACATTTGTATGACTCAGTAAAAATCGTCCACAATAAGTAATTTTCAGTTTTCAAATGTCTAAAAGCATCATTCATTTTCAAATATTCTCAGTAAAATATTAAAATTTGTTTGTATTATGAAATTCTGTACCTTTGGCCAACAGTTTCTCTTAGCCTTATATTTATGATAAGCACGGCCAGCTTTAAGAATCGGCTTGTCAATACGTCCACCACCAGCAACAATGCCAACCATAGCTCTGTTGTTGGATGGAATGACTTTCTTGGCACCAGATGGTAATTTTACTCTGGTTTTCTTTGTATCTGGATTGTGAGCAATAACTGTGGCATAGTTTCCAGATGCTCTAGCTAAACGGCCTCTATCGCCAGTCTTTTCCTCCAAATTACAAACGATAGTACCCTCAGGCATTTGACCAACAGGCATCACATTTCCAATTTGAAGATTTGCTGAAATACATTTTAAGTTGCTTATTATCTATCGTAATTTTCATAGCATTTTAAAAATTACTCTATGTATTTGTTTACCTTTCTTTCCACAATATAGGAACTGTCCAGTGTACATTCCTTCAGGTGCAATAAACAATTCTTTGCGTGTTTTAAACTTGTATGGGTCACGGAAATGTACAACAGCTAAAGGTGCACCACGACCAGGATCGTGGAGAATGTCCTACAAAAGAAATAAAACAATTATGTGAAACGATTTATTTAGAGTAAGTGTTCTTTTACGAAGCATAAAAACATTTTCAGAAAGAGCCTCTAACATTTACTTCAGCATTAATCAGAGGAGATAAAATAGAATTCATCATACGTATGCTTTAAGTTGATGTAAAAATTCTAAACAAAAACTTAAATTACGAAATTATACAAACCTTTACAACACCTTTGATGTATCCATGCCTTTCAGAATAATCCAGAGAACGAAGTTTGGGTGCTCCCTTTCTCCTTTTTGTGTGGGATCTGAAAACAGACCCAGCACCCTTTCGCTGAGCACGAATTACTCTGCCCATGGTTTAAAACCTGCACAGAAATAATTAAACACGGTAAAATACTTCTTCACTAAAAGGCGTACAGTATAATACAAAACGTGACACTATGGACTGCTGGTTGGCACAATATAACCTCAAAACGGGACAACTAAAATATAACACAAATTTCTCTCAACTAGTAAAAATATTTATTAGAACATCGAAGAAATCGACTAAGCATCTTTAATCAAAACAACTTTTCGATGGATGTATTGCCGTTTCATGAATTTAAGAGGATTTTAATGCGGCAGAAAATAAGCTGGTCACATACCAAATGAACCGATATCAAACAGAGAAAGATGCAGCCGGAAGTCTCTTTGTATGCTGTGATTTTTAAGTTGGCTGCATTGCATGCCCGCCAAAGTAATACAGATTTAAGAATTTACTGATGTATAAGCGAATAATATTTGTCAAGAATTTTGTTTATTTTGATATTTCCAATGTAGAAAATATTATGAGGAATTCATGGTGTAACACGCTCTATTTTTTATATGCAAGAGAAGACTTTTTATGTAATTTAAAAATGTAGTCATGGAGAATGCAGAACTTAGTGTAAATGGTACAATTTCAACTAGTAAATTTATAACCGTATTAAAACGTTTAAAAACATAAAAATATATTAAAAATATTTGTATTTGATAATTAACAATTTTCTTAAATAGGTCAATACAAATTTGATTTACTTGAGAATATTTATAAATTATAATAACAGCTCAAATGATTACTGGACTTCAGTTGTGCTGACGAGCTCGATTCCGTTTTCAATAAAATTTAGTTATTGAGGAAACGAATGTACAAAAATATACCCATGNCGGCCAGCTTTAAGAATCGGCTTGTCAATACGTCCACCACCAGCAACAATGCCAACCATAGCTCTGTTGTTGGATGGAATGACTTTCTTGGCACCAGATGGTAATTTTACTCTGGTTTTCTTTGTATCTGGATTGTGAGCAATAACTGTGGCATAGTTTCCAGATGCTCTAGCTAAACGGCCTCTATCGCCAGTCTTTTCCTCCAAATTACAAACGATAGTACCCTCAGGCATTTGACCAACAGGCATCACATTTCCAATTTGAAGATTTGCTGAAATACATTTTAAGTTGCTTATTATCTATCGTAATTTTCATAGCATTTTAAAAATTACTCTATGTATTTGTTTACCTTTCTTTCCACAATATAGGAACTGTCCAGTGTACATTCCTTCAGGTGCAATAAACAATTCTTTGCGTGTTTTAAACTTGTATGGGTCACGGAAATGTACAACAGCTAAAGGTGCACCACGACCAGGATCGTGGAGAATGTCCTACAAAAGAAATAAAACAATTATGTGAAACGATTTATTTAGAGTAAGTGTTCTTTTACGAAGCATAAAAACATTTTCAGAAAGAGCCTCTAACATTTACTTCAGCATTAATCAGAGGAGATAAAATAGAATTCATCATACGTATGCTTTAAGTTGATGTAAAAATTCTAAACAAAAACTTAAATTACGAAATTATACAAACCTTTACAACACCTTTGATGTATCCATGCCTTTCAGAATAATCCAGAGAACGAAGTTTGGGTGCTCCCTTTCTCCTTTTTGTGTGGGATCTGAAAACAGACCCAGCACCCTTTCGCTGAGCACGAATTACTCTGCCCATGGTTTAAAACCTGCACAGAAATAATTAAACACGGTAAAATACTTCTTCACTAAAAGGCGTACAGTATAATACAAAACGTGACACTATGGACTGCTGGTTGGCACAATATAACCTCAAAACGGGACAACTAAAATATAACACAAATTTCTCTCAACTAGTAAAAATATTTATTAGAACATCGAAGAAATCGACTAAGCATCTTTAATCAAAACAACTTTTCGATGGATGTATTGCCGTTTCATGAATTTAAGAGGATTTTAATGCGGCAGAAAATAAGCTGGTCACATACCAAATGAACCGATATCAAACAGAGAAAGATGCAGCCGGAAGTCTCTTTGTATGCTGTGATTTTTAAGTTGGCTGCATTGCATGCCCGCCAAAGTAATACAGATTTAAGAATTTACTGATGTATAAGCGAATAATATTTGTCAAGAATTTTGTTTATTTTGATATTTCCAATGTAGAAAATATTATGAGGAATTCATGGTGTAACACGCTCTATTTTTTATATGCAAGAGAAGACTTTTTATGTAATTTAAAAATGTAGTCATGGAGAATGCAGAACTTAGTGTAAATGGTACAATTTCAACTAGTAAATTTATAACCGTATTAAAACGTTTAAAAACATAAAAATATATTAAAAATATTTGTATTTGATAATTAACAATTTTCTTAAATAGGTCAATACAAATTTGATTTACTTGAGAATATTTATAAATTATAATAACAGCTCAAATGATTACTGGACTTCAGTTGTGCTGACGAGCTCGATTCCGTTTTCAATAAAATTTAGTTATTGAGGAAACGAATGTACAAAAATATACCCATGAA